ATATATATATATATATATATATATATATAGTATAGTTTTTTCCAAGGAGGGGGTCAGGACCCCCTGACACCCCCCCCGATCCGCCAATGCATGAGCATTTCCTTGTCATGATGGGTGCACATAGATATGACAATTATGAAATGCATAGGTAAGAGGCTTCATAAGTACATTGACATTTTTTATCATCACTTACAATTTATGTCTGAAAACATAATACTCTATGTTCTGTATTGTATCAATGAAGCTTTTATGTAACTCTGTTTGCATCCAGGTGATTGGCTCGATGGAAGTGGGTGGGATGATCTTCTAACAATCTCAAAACTTGCCTCGTAGGAAAGGCCAGTGCCATGCTTCCAACATCACGCTTTGCCGATATGTCCATCAAGTTACAGCCTGCGTCTTATACCAACACAAGAAGGATACATATTCATAATATTCATCATACTGCAACAAAAGAGCGACTACTCTACCTGAGACTGATTGGTTCAGGGAAAGTATAAAGCATCCTATGTTCAAGTTCTGGTCGATCACACTAAAGGTGGAACTCATCTTGCTGCAGTTTGTCAAAGCCATAAGATCGGCCGATTTCGACTTGTATGTAAAAGCCATGTACCTAATAGCACCATGGATGTTCAGTCTAGATAATTATAACTACGCTAGATGGTTGCCAGTGCATATCAATAGTATGGCCACACTGCAAGATATCCACCCAGATGTATAAGCGCAGTTTACAAATGACTTCTTTACAGCACAGAAGTCGAACAGGAAGTTTTCCCTCATAGGATTGGACCATAACCATAAACAAATCAATGCCAAAATTAAAGGAGTCGGGGGGAGCCATTGGACTTACTGAAAATGATGCTTCCTTGCGAAGTGGTTGATGGAAGGTCCCGAGGTTTTTCGGATGGTAGAGGAATTCGAGAACAGCAATAAGCTGCCTGAGTCGGATAGCATCCTAGAATACCATAGCTTCACCAAAAGTGCACAGAAACATTTTAGTGACAACGTAAAAGCAATGTATTATGATTGCCTAGCTGAGTTTGGTAACCCATTCATGGATGATAGTGAAGATTTGTACGCATTGGATACAAAGCTAGTACCTGGTCTTGAAGCAGTTAAAAACTTACATGCTGTTGAAGCAATGGGGAAAGAGCATTTTGAAACCTATATGAACTCTCCCATTTTAAAGGACGAGCTGATTTCGGATACCATCAGGAGGAACAACGTGCAAATGTGCTAAGCCAAAGACCAAAACAAAGAAAGACGCACTACTAAAAGCAGCAAGTGACGCTGCTTTGTACTCAAGACTGTTCATTGCATGTCAAAATAGAGATGGGGACCTCAACGAGTTTTTCTCCCACGAAAACGAAGGAGAACCTCCAAGCCTTTTGGACAATGAAAATCTACAACCACCCAAGCACAAATCAGGTTAGTGAACTATCTATAACAAATAAGGTTAGTGAACTATCTATAACATATCAGGTTAATTCTTGATGATTTGTATAGTAGCTCTGTGACATTGTAAAAGTATCTATCTGTGAACCATCTTCAACCTGAAAAGAAAAATTAGGTTAGTTCTTGATGGTTTGTATAGTAGCTCTGTGTCATAATAAGAGTATGCAACATACATCAGTTAACTAATCTGAAAAAAATATTCTGTTTTTTGTTGTTGCAGGTATTGTAGATACCATTTTGGATGTCGAGCACACAGAGCGCAATTTAGCACCAGCAGTAGATGCCAAAGTGTTCGATGGACCAGCAATAGTCAATATGCTCAGGCCTAATGATTCGAAGACATTCCTTGAATATATATCAAGTGTCGTACAACCATATAGAATCAACTTCGGTCAGCGGCACGACTAGATTTGGTTTTCGATAGATACTTTAAAGACAGTTGAAAGTCTGGTACGCATTCGAAATGGTGTGAGGAGGGTCGTCAAAAGCCAGCGGGAGTATGCCCAACAATTGGTCCACATTCCTGAGATGTGATGACAACAAATCAGAGTTGTTTCCATTAGCCTACTACTGTAACACTAGTTCAAAGTTGATGAGAGAAGGATATTTCTAACGGCATGATCTGATAGCGATTCTGAGCCAGTTGACGTACAAGAAGTTACTGAGGTAGGCTGCGAACAAAACAAGATAGATTCACTGCGTGACGCTTACCAAGCACGCGTCTTTAACGTCATACCAGTATTTTTTGTATATGCCGTTACTTATTCACTAACTACAAGTGATGCTCAATTTGACTTTGCCTGGCTCCTGGCTTATCTCAAGTTTTGCCAGAGTCCCGATGTAGGATAGGGGTCGTCGGAAACCCATCATTAAAGCCTATTGATGTTTGACAGCGTCGTGATTCCCCATGTAAGAATATTTTTTACTATTAGACCTATACATAATAACTGAGAAAAACATATCAACAAAAATAATTTCTGGTTGACCTGACCTGACGTGATTTTTGTAAAGCTAAAGTTATATGGTGAGTATATGTTGAAAATCTAAATCTTTCCTTTGCTACAAATTAGTCAGTGAAGAAACACAGTTTGCATTTTGTTTTGGGCTACAAATCAGAAAATTATAAAGAAATTAAATCTTCGATTGACGAATGTGAATCTACAATTTTTGGCCAATATCAACGAAAATGATCCGGGGGTGGGGGTGGGAGGGGGGATAAAGCCATAGGACTACTACTTAGGCCTACTAATATTATTTATGATGTGTTTATTACAATTTTTACTCTATACACCCAAAACAGTCCTAAAATGTCCAGAATGCGCTACCTTCCGGAGGTCTTCGCCCTCTGGACCCCCAGCTAGAGAGGGGACAGTTCCGCCCGAACCCAACTACACTCGGTACTACGTACCTCTCAAGAAGCCTTTCCCTTTGAAAATCCATGGCTACGTCCCTGCCCTGCGTATTGACATGCGGCCACTGTTACCGCCACTATCTACAATCAAGAATAAAAAGCTGGTAAAGTGTTTAAAATGTGTTGGGTTGGGTGGGGATGGGGGTGGGTGGTAGTCAAAGTGTTTAAAAAAAAAACCCAAAAGAGGGGGTTCGGGGGTACTCCCCCTGGAAAATTTTGATTCTTAGATGGCGAGAAATGAGCATTCCCGACTTCAGAGGTGTCTTTTAATGACTTTTCAGTTCTTCAAAATCCAAGGTTTTCCCACTCTTGTAAACGGTCAGCTTCTCATTCTTATTACAGTAAATAGGCCTAGGCCTATTATGTGTGTATACGTACATTAAAAAAATGAGTAGTTGTATACGTAGGCCTACGTAGGCCTATTCTTTTTTCCATGAATCGATAAACACTCCAAAGATAAAGAGAAAGGGTCCGGGAGTCCTCCCCAGGGAAAATTTTGATTCCTAAATATTTCTTCAAAATTCAAAGTTTTCCCCTCTTGAAAATGATCAGGTAAATTTTTCTCATTCTTATTACAGTAAATAGGCCTATTATGTGTGTACCAGTATACATACAGGAAAAAAAAATGAGTAGTTGCATACGTACTCTCCAAGGGAAAATTTTGATTCCTAGATGGCAGGAAATGCGCTTTTTCACGACTTCTAATTTTCCCATTGTAGCAAAAAAAAAAAAAAAAAAAAAAAAATTCAGCTCACGGGTCTTTAAAAGGTAGGTCTAAATTTTTTTATTTTTTTGTAGCCCAAGTGGGGTCAATAGGGTTTTCCTGACAATAGGGCAACACCCAACGCAGGGCAAAAGTTGTAATTTGGCGCGCAGCGCCACCCGAGGCCGTAGGCCCGACAGGGGACGATTTGGGGATTTCCCAATGATACAATTTAAAAAAAATTATAAGCCGCTAGACGCTCATATGTATGGCATCTTTACCAAGGATGGTGTTTTTTGTATCTCATCGGCGTTCAAACTATAAGTTTATATAGGTCTATCCAATTCAGGCAAACATTTGATATAAACGTTTTAAGATATTTTTTTTTTTATCCCACAACGAATCTCTCCTAAATTTTTCGACGGGGGGGGGGGGGGGGGGGGGTGAGGGGGGAGCCTTGGCTAGACTAAAACGAAACTTTTGCATACTGGTGGAGTGCGCCCTCTGGAGTTCCCGCTGGGCCAATGTAAATACCGAATGGGGTCTTGCACGTTTTCTACAGAATGCAAATTCCAAGGGTGGCTCTTCAGCAGCACAAGAAACAAAGCCCCTTTTAGGCAAGATGTTACGGTAGTGTATCCTTCAGCGCTTCCTGTTTTTTATTATCATCTCCGTTTGTTGCTTATGTGTGGGATTGTTTTCCAGGTCATCCTGATTTAGACCGTTCTTTCACCCACACAACCATTGATGATACCGTCACGTTAATTTTACTCTGACTACCGTTGTTTGATTGTAGGAACTTATATCTCGTCGCCTGTAAGTTAACTTAAATTATTATGCAACAATTCGTTTAAATTACAGTAGGTTTATTGCTCTGGACAAGACTATTATTATTATTTCTGCTTAAAGATATGTTAAAGCGATTGTTAAATGAAGGATGTTAAACGTCGTTGACTTAATTGAATTTAAATTTCGTACATATGATAGAAATTTAGAAATTTTATAATACATTGATGATCCATGTAAAGATTATCTTACTTGAACTAACGAACTAATTTTTGAATTTAGTTTGGTAATATTATTAATTTTATATTAAAAGTATAATTGACCAATAACCTATATTAGAGCATAGAAAAGGCATACTTATTGATAAGATAATAAGCAACCGAATTTCTGTTATATTATTTTTTTTTTAATAAATCAAATCGTCTCCGGTTAGAATAAATGAAGAAATTACAATGCTCGCAAAATGAGAACAATTCCAAGAAAATCACATTAAAATATGTTTTGTTAAAAAACATTCCAAGAAAATCACATTAAATTATATTTTTTTTTAAAACAAGTTTTTAAAATCCGATCCTGCAAATATGTTTGTTGGTGTTAAGCACGGTGTTTGTGTTAGCGTTACGTTTGCAATGATTTTTCCAATGATTTTTACTATAATTTATTAAATTAAAAGCAGTTTAATTTAATTTTGTCTTTATCTTATTTACTATGTATATGTTTTATTGTTTTTTCTAAGGGATAATAAATGGTTGATTGATTGATTGATATTATCCTATATTAGCAGGCCTATAGTATTATTGAATTATGAAAAATAAAAGTTTGTGTATGTTATGACCATAGGGTATTAAAATGAATAATGATCTCTTGTTTACAAAAAGTTATACTTTTCATTTCAAGGGGTCGGATAATGATGAACAATGGCAATGATCAGTGGTGGCACTACGGGGTGATAGGAAGGAGGCTACAGCCCCCTTTCGGGGAAGTTAGCAAATATTCGTCAGGGATAAAAGAATTATTTTTAAAAAAAACACCTTTTTAGGTCGAGATGCCCTGTATGAGCGTCTAGTGGCATATTATTTTCAAAAATTGTCTCATTGGTGAGGGAAGAACGGCTTAAAGAACAACTCTTGCCCTGTCTGTCGGGGCGTTGCCCTATCGTCGGGGAAATCCTAACGCCGCCACTGGCGACGATGACTAGGCCAATAAATTGCTATACAGAGAGGCCTCGGCATATGTTTTTCATAAATAATGATATGAATGTAAATATGGTCGTGATGTTTTATTGGTTGCAAACAACGATAAACTAATATGAGTGTATTTTAAGGAACCAAACCTCATAGTTGTATTTTATACCCTTGTGACTATAAAGTTTTATCGTTTCGTCTTGGGTAATGGTTGGAGACTTATGTATAAATTTGTGTGTATGTATGTATATGTATGTATATGTATATATATA